TTTTGTAAATGATATTATGACTGGGTCAGGATCTGGCATTGTCATTTCTTTTCTTTGAATTCGGTTAAAAATTGCCAGAACCTTAACTCATTGCTTGAATACTTGAATACAACGACATAGCATCGTCATTTAATTATTTACATTTTTTAACATACACCCGGGTGTTAGTGTGTCAATTGTATTTAGTTCGTTTGTGTCAACGAGTGACTCACTAACTATCCATTTTGTTTGTTTTAGTGGAAAATTTCCAGTTAAATGTTCTTAGTTCTTATTAAACTGTCAAGCACCGCGAGGACACCGGTGACCGCAACCTATTGTTCTTTAATTGTGTCTATAATGACGGTATACGTCTTTTAATTCAGGGGTAGGCAGAGGCCGTCCCGTGAATCTAAGTTGTAGAAGAACCTATACGTCTTGATTATGCCTGACTATCTGTGTTGCCCACGACTTCGCCCGTGTATAATATAATTCCTGTTTAATCCCATGGCAGCATTTAATCGAGATAAAAATCCTATCACCTTAGTCAGCTTATACCCTGCCTGTATATCAAAGTTCATCAAAAACATTTCAATTGTTCTGCCTCGTTGGCCGATTGGTTACAAGTGCGACTGCCGGCCGGGCAAGGGGTCTCGGGTTCCATTTTAGGGTCAGGCAAGGTTATACTAGGTTTTTAAAAAAAATCTCAATAGTAGCACGAGGCTCACCCTCTATTACATGGGATTTATAAATATTGAAAAGTGAGGAATCGAACCCGCGACACGTTGCAGGGCAGCCAGTTGCCCAGCCATCGCGCCAATCGTGCAGTCAATTATTGTTTATAAATTTTAATGTAAAACTGAACGATACAGCAAATCGGCTGCAGTGGGTTAAAATCTCAGTTGTACCATTTATTTTCTGAAAGTTACCTACTTTTTATACATAGTTTTACTTAGCCAGTTTAAAAAATACAAACGTGATGTACAAGTAACATGGAAACTTAAGTAACCTGTAATGCATCACTGCTGAAACTGAAAAACCGATTATTTAACTCATACAAAAACTTCGTCTTCTGTGGCTTTCTTATATTGCACTTACAGTTTTCAGTCTCGAATGTAATAAAAACTAAAACATGACACGATTTTTTTTTTTGTAACGCTCAGTTAAGTAAATCGGTTCGGAGTTGAAAAGAATCGATTTCAGTATCTTACCGAGTTGTATAATAGTGGTAACTCGATAAACCGATTGTTCACGAGTATTATGTAAAAGTGAGAACCAGATCACTGGCACACAAATTGGTCATATTTTTTTTTCAAATTTCCAAAAGTAGTTAATACGTAGACTCGGTCGAAACATTACCCGAAGAACAAATCATAAAAAATATCGATTTCGAGTCGACAACTTATATCAGCAAAATTCGGATTACGGAGATTATTTCGTTTTATTACATATCATCACGCCTTTTATCCCCGAAGGGGTAGGCAGAGGTGCACACAGAAGTAACACCCACTTTTCACTATTTATGTTATGAGTCCCATGTAATAGGGGGTGAACCTATTGCAATATACCGGGCACATTTCCAGACTCCGTGCTACTACTGAGATTTTTTTAAAAACCCAGTAAGACTTAAAGACTTAGAGACCCCTTGCCCGGCAGTCGCATTTGCGACCACTCGGCCAACGAGGCAGAGCAGAAAAGTCAACTATAATAATTATGGAATCGATATAATTAATATTAAGCTTTTGTCTAATGTCCAGTGTCAATCCTACTTATCTGAGAGGATGATGATGATGTTGGTTTCGTTTCAGGTTCAGGTTTCGTAACCTAAGTAAATTTTTTTTGAGGGGGAAATTCATCCAATTATTTCTTCCACCTTGAATGAGGCGAGAGGAAGTGTCAAAGTCTTACTGACTAAAAACCACCCCGTTCCTACACCTGCCCTTCGAGCCGGAGCCGGGGAAACCCGTTACGCCTTCCTCGTCTCCGCAATCTGAGTTCATTTGGTTTTATTTCGGTATGTTAAAGGTGCTCATTCGAAGTACAGTGCTGGACATAGGCATCTCCTGCAATAGTCAGTACGTCACTGTGCTCGATCCTCAGATTGTGACATCGAAAACCTTTATCGATAGAGATATCGATTTCCCAAATATCATCTATAGTTGATGAAAATTCATCGTGTTTTTCTTCATAAGCTTCATCATCGACAAATTTAATTATCAATATTGCGTAAAAATCTATCTTTTCTGTAAAATGCTTGTTGTTATGTCAATACTTTTAAGCACAATAAAATAAAATGTTCACTTACATTCATAAAATGTTACCTCAATACTTTTTCTTGAACCTAATGTCGAAATAAAGTGACGTAATCGTTTATTTACATTTGCTTGGGAACAATTTTATTTTAGAGCAGTTCTTATACTAAATTAGACTCGATTACATAAGGTTACTTCGATTGAAGACATAATATGAAAAGTTTTATATAATCTAATTGATATTTACACAAATTGCTTCGACACTTCACACTTGAATGGATGCCATCTTATATGCTTGAAGCGTGGTAATAATTACTGCTATTTCCTTATTGTTTTTGGGTTTTATAATTGAAGTACTAGGATGGCATAATAGGGTAGATGCCTACTTTTATTACCTCTATAATGTCCGTCTGGTACATTATTTTAAACCATTAGACACGTATTTTTTATTTTGTTACAGAAACGAATACTTTCGATGATATATTGATTTGAAATGTCGCGTGATGTCACTTCTATGTAGATTTTATACGAAGAAATGACATTTTAGCCCCCACTCCTAAACTTTGATTCGTTTGATCTAAGTATTGTTTTATTATACGACAAAATAAAAAAATATGTGTCCATTATTTTTTATTATCTAACTTACGGACTAATTATATTTTTAATTTTCATACCATGTCATCATCCCAATTTAAGAAGCGTTCTTCACAACGCTAATGGGATTAATAACAACTTACCAAAAGATGTAAGTATAATCTAGGCGCTGCTGCAGGCTATCATCCATCAGTGTATGTCTACCTAATGTACTCAATGTTTCTCATATCATATTAGGTCCATAATATACTTACCTACTACACATGGCATTTACTAAGTACATACTTACCTCTCATAATCATCATGATGATAGCCGCCAACATCATTAAACACATTTCTTACAATTTCTGCGGTCCTAGTACTTGCGTGACGCAGCAACCAGTTATTTTACCGGTTATTTTAACTAACTGGTTTATTGTAGTTTAATGTGTAGATTAATTTAATTAATTTGCAGTTTAACAATAGATCATTAGTTAAATTTGACTATTGATTATCGTTTAAGTTTTAAATTAGTCATCGTGCCCTTCGTTAAGGTAGCGTATACATTGTGTGGTCTCGCTTAAACTAAGGGACCACCTTACAGTTACATATTCGTATAAAATTTTATAGCTCTTTTAACATATCAATTAGTTTACAGATGTAAACACGAAGAACATTATATTTATATGATAACCTTAAGGAGATTTTTTAGCTACAAGAAACTGGTAGAATTATCACCTATCCTGCCATTGTAATATTACCTTGCCCAGTAAAAAATCCAGTCATTACACATCAGATTAAAATGCAATCCACTTTATTTTACCAAAAAATACTACTATAAGGGCCGATGGTAGAAAATACCATCAGTTAATTCAGAATAAAATTGTCATTTGTCAATTTTTAGTATTGTTCAAAGTTATTCCTGTTTTATATCTGGCGTTGGAAGAATGGGCCCTACTTAATAATAATACAATTAATATTAACGTTTTTAATTACATATTTTCAAATATAAAAATTGATCATTTTCAATGCTGTTGTAATACTATTGCTAAAACTTTTGTCCAATTAGACCAACCTTCGAGAAGCCGTCCTTCTTAGTGTCAGTTGGTTCAGATTCTTTTTCATTTTTTTTATGGTATAAGCCGGTAAACGAGCAGACGGATCACCTGATGGTAAGCAATCGGCGTTGCCCATGGACACCTGGAACACCAGAGGCGTTACAAGTGCGTTACCGGCCTTTTGGGGATTAGGAGTTTGAGGATCGTTGGGGATTCAGGGATTGAGGAGATTGGGGAAGGGGAGGGTAATTGGGCCTCCGGTAACCTCACTCACACGACGAAACACAACGCAAGCGTTGCTTCACGTCGGTTTTCTGTGAGACCGTGGTATCACTCCGGTCGAGCCGGCCTATTCGTGCCGAAGCATGGCTCTCCCACACTTTCGCAGTGTGTCATTGGTTCTTACAGATACGTAATTAGTTATCATTGTACGTACCTACAAATAAATCTAATTTGTTGGCCAGATAGGAGCTCTTCTTGTTAAGTGGCGTTGCTTTGTTGAGCCTAATATTTGGCGCCACGACCGAAGTTGCGACTTGAAGATCGGCTTGACCTGTGCCGTTTATATAAGCATTAATTATGCTTATTACGCAACAACCAGATACTTAAGTACAATGGAATAGATATTGTGACACTTTTCTTTAATTTTATTAAATTAATTTTATAAAGTTTGTGTATTCTGAGCTGATGTGTATTTATGTCAAAGCAATAATGCAAAATTAACAGGAGTTTTCGAGATAACTAGAATGTCAGATTTCATCTGCACTACAACAATGAACAAATCATGAACCGTATGAAATAACTAACGCCATCTGTTATCGAATAGCTACACTATTAAGTAACGCCATCTATTATTGAGTTGCCGAAGGAATGCGTGTGAAAAATAAAATTATTGTTCACAAAAGACTCCTACGAGAAATAAATATTGATATATTTTTTTGTTCAGTTAGCATTTTATTCTTAAAATTCTTAAATAAATAATTAAACTTTCCCTAAACTAAACATCAAAGACAAGACAATAACAGTCCAACCATTGTGCGGTTCATTGTGAACCCAACTTGTACAAATTTCACAAGGGAATTCATAGATGGCGCTGTTACCAAAAAATAAACCATAAAAGACTAAAATAAAAATCAAGTACTTTGTTACAATATTTATTCATCTATTTCCACTAATATAAGCTATAAAGCTCTCCGTACTGTCACTGTCATCTTCTGGATTTGTCCTGTGGGCAAACATCTCCGTGCTCCTATCATTCAACATAACTTCGTGCAAAGCTAATGTTCTTAGTAATTTATCCGACTCAGAGCCGTCACCATCGTCTATTATTCTATCATTAATCATATTTGTAAGGTTTATTTCATCTATCATTTTATCATCAAGATTACTCACATTTAACGTGTCATAATCATTCGTCCTTCTCGTATGGAAACCAGCTTCTTTGAGTTTCTTTTTGGCTAGTTCTATGAATGTTGGCGACTTGAGAGTCTCACGGAGCCATGTTTTGATTTTGTTTTTCTTATCTTCCACTCTTGCTTTGAATCTGTTCAACAGGAGTTTGTAATTACATAGTGACCAAGGTCAATCTTGAGTATATAATAATATTAAAACTGCATTTTTAATGGTAAAGCCCGGCAAACGAGCAGACGGACGGATGTTTTGTATTCAGCGCCATCTATTGATTGGCCACCCACAACACTGACTAGTCACAAGTGCGTTGACTGCTGATTTGGACATTTGGGGATGTGGAGTTGGGGATGACAATACACCGCTGCATAAAGAAATTATTACATTTCTGATTCTTTCTCAACTTACTTCTGCAATTCCTTCTCCCTTTGCCTAGCTTTCTGTATCTTCGGCAACAGTTCAGGTACTGTGTTGGCTTCGTTATTGGTGATGGTGTCTTCCACCCACTCTGTGATCTCGGACACTCGGCTGTAGACTCCTGGAGAGCGGGGGTCACCACACTGCTTGCCACCGAAGGAGACAATGCCGAGGAGCACACCGTCTCTCACTGCCGGACCACCAGAGTCGTGCTGAAAACGTAAAAGGGGCATAAAATGTTTGTAATAGCAGTGGCGTAACCATACCTTTACCAAATTCATCGCATGCTTCTGCTTTTATTGGGAACGGGTTTCCAATACCAGATGAAAACATCTGAACGGAGGGCCTGGGGGCTGGCCGTAGTATTTTGCCGATTTGCCACCCTGTACTTACGCCACTGGTTACAAGAGATGTTAAAAGAAAATTTGAGTTTTTCCACGTTGATAAATAAATAAGGTAATTAATTAATAAATATCTGCGTACCGTACTTATTACGAATTTTGTTTCTTTAACTTTAACTCTTTAACAATTTCACGACGAACAATTTCATTATTTTGGTTACAGTTTTAGTCCTATTGCTTCTGAAGCCGCAGCATGGAATGGTCACCGAGAGACTGCAGTTGCTGGCAATCAGTCTACGATGCGTTCGCTTTGATTGCTTTAAGTGTTGTAGGCACAAATGTTTTGTTAAAATTTAATTGTATTTCGTTTGTATGACCATCATTTTTACATTAACCATCGACACTTACATTGCAAGCATCTTTCCCTCCGGTAGCGTATCCAGCACACAGCATCCGCGGCGTGATGTAGAACCGGTACGATTTCTGACAGTCCTCCAGCCGCATCACTGGTACCGGGACGAACCGTAACCGGTCCGGAATGTGACCGTAACCGGATTCCTATTACAAAATAATGTGTTTATTTGCGTGTGTAACATACTTATTTACTTTTAGCCTGTAAGTCACTGATGTTGGCCAAAGGCCTCTTTTCACACGGAGAAGGTTTGATTTTCACCACGCTTGCTCAGTGCAGGTTGACGATTTCAAGGTCATTCCTCACGATGTTTTCCTTCAGCGTTTATCAGTGGTATCTAATAATCTTAGAGAGTACATTTAACTCGAAAAAAGTCACATTGGTGGTGTTGGTGGCGTCCTCAAGCAAGTCAAGCATGAGAAGCGGGCGTCTTAAGCCTCCGAGCCTCCACGACTATAGATTCATTACCCGTTAGTTTTTAGCTGAAGATATATATAAGATTGGGTGATAGCGTTTCTGGACGTTGATGATAACAAATATAACTCACATCTGTACTCCCCCAACCTGTGACGATGAGGATGTCACTCTCTTTCATCATGTAGTCCTTGGAAGGCAGATTCAGAACTGCAATGTTCCGTCCAATGGGCATGGGCCGGTCTAAGCGAAGTAAAGAGTAGTCGTAGTCTGCATTTCCCGGCACATATTCGTGAGGGAAGAACACCTAGAAATTAGAAGTTCGTGTTCTCAAACAGACTTTGAAAAGATACCAGAAAGTCAAAAGCGTAATACGTGACTAGATATGACTAGGTTTTTTTTTAAGTTTCTTAATAATTTATGAGTGACAATAATACACAAAACATTTGTCATCAGCCCTATGGTACCCGCGGGTGTTGTAAGACCCGACTAAGGTACTAGGACTACATAAGTATTTGATAAACTGTACCTATGTTACGACAATGGTGACTACCTTATTGACCCGTGCTTGGTATCCTCCACGGTTGTGGAAGGAGCTGCCAGCTCTGATGATAAACGGCTGCAGCTTTCTCTTGTCGCCATCAAAGGCTCTGCAAAGAATAGTCAAACAACTATATCAAGCAGGTCAGTAGACACCTAATTTATTACAGTATTTTGTTTTTAGTCAGATATTTTATCAAATGGAATACGAGCCACGAAACGAGAGAGTTCAGATTTTGAAAGCACTTGACAAAAAACTAGACTTCAGTTAGTTAATTAGAACTTTGAGCATTAGAAACTCATTTATAAAGTTTTAATTATTTATGGCTAATTACTATGGCTATGATAATGGCCATAATGGCTGAGGACTTTCAATCCTGTTATCGGCGATAAAGGCGAGCTCACGCGTTTTGTAGATGTTATGCAACGACACGTGAGGTATAGGTTTACATGTCGACATTAATGAACAACCTTTTTGTTGTGTTTAGCACAGTTCTAGACTCCACACAGTCAGGTACTGAGAATTTTTAATATCTAAAAACTCAATTACACTTTTCCCAGTCATAAATCGCACTTCATTAGCATCAAAACTGTATCACTTGTAGGTTGCGTCGTGGCCGAACTTACCCCCGAAAATGTTTGCTTATTATTCGCTTTGGCTAACCCTTATCTAAACACGATCAATACGCATCTGTTAAAATATCACTTACGATTCCAAACAGTGCCCAGCAGTGAGCACCCACTGCTCATCAATGATGGAGCCTCCACACCAGTGCTTAGCATTCCTGGAGATGGCCACGTTGTACGGGTACATACTGACGCTGGTCTCCATGCCTCCCACGATACGACGCACAGCATACGACCGGAATGCCCAAGCTATGTGGCGTTCATCGTGATTCTCAGGAAAGACTAGGAAAGCATAAATATCAATAGGTTAGTAGGATTTTATCAAATCTAATAAATACTATTAATTCAGCATAACTGGTAAAAATGTGGTTAATCAAAATTTTGAGAGCATCAAAAGATATGAATCAGTCAGTTGGAATTAATTTGAAGTTAAATAAAGTAGGTACTAGGATAGCAGAAAATAGAAAGACCTGCAGTCCATTATAGATGAAAAAATTATAAGGAGTCAGCCGCTCTGATCTAATTTTTTTACGCTATTTACAGTATTACTCACATGTTTGGTTGAACTGGTCTGACTCGCTCTCTCGCCGCATGAGGGTCTTATGGAATTCGGGTTTTTTCGAGTCCAGAACTGGTCGGGTAAACCCGAAACAAACATGTGAGTAAAACCGTTGAAAATAATGGAAGTATAGATAAATGTCATAATGCAAAAAAAAACTAGTAGCGAGACACAAAATAGCAGCAACGATAAGATAGCATTTAATGAAGGTAAATATCATGAAACCATTACACCCACACAAAATTCAGAACCATACACAGACAGTGTCAGTAGTCAAGTAGTCAGCAGGAGATTTAGAATTCAGATTTAGAAGGGGACTAGCATTGTTTTTCCTACGGGTCGCGGGACGCGGTGCCCTATTTCACCGGGTCAACCCCGAGAAGGACCTCCACATTATTATATTTATGAAAAATTTCTTCTACCTATTACTTACTAGATTCCGCATTCTGCTTCTGCCCGCATTTCAGTGGGATAAACAGCCTATGTGTTTATCCAGACCATGATCTATCCATGTTCTTTACATCCGGATCCCTTCTTCCGTTTTGACGTGAAGGGACAACAAACATACAAACTTTCGCATTTATATTACTCATATTAGGGTTTACAAATTATTTCACAAACCTGGAAATTCTCCTCTCTCCTCTTTTGTCACCTTAAACCTCGTGGACGTCTCATCATTCTTAAACTTATACTTCTCTTCTAACAAAGCTTTAATATCTTCTTCATTGTCATAATCATCTTTCTGTTTTATAATGGTTTCTTGTACTTTGAATTTGGGCTGTTCATTATTGTATTGGTTTTGACTATCCACAGCTTCTTCATCATTGTTAAATAATTGACCGTCGTCCGCGGATAAATCTGTTGCTGCTATCCTAATAACATTGTTCGCAACTATTGAAATAAAAACAGTTCTAATTATACCTACGTTAATACGTATAACCATTTTTGTTTCATCTTAAATGTTTATTCCAAGTTTTTGATTTCCTTTGGTAATGAGTTTCCATGCACTTTGATAACATGTTTTATGCTTGCATTTTATGACTGCGTCGTAAAGACAGATGGAATTTTTAAGCAAATTATTTGGTCGCGTGTCGTACAGTTTTGGACAGTTCAGTCTTCTTACAGCTGTGTAGAGAGCTATTCATTAATATTACGTTTTATTTACTACTTAGAAGATCAACATTGATTCGTGTCCAGAGCTACGTCTTCAAATAATCTCTGGATTAAAATAATCTTGGTTAGTAAATGGAAATTCATAAAACCAACCAATAAAATGTAAATGTTCGATGAAATAAATAAAAGGAACAATAAAATTATATTAAGCAAATCATGTTTTCGCTAAAACATAAACATGAAATGTATCTAGAACTCTCAGAGTTTGGTTGTTACGTATTTTATTTAACTCCTTTGGGTTTAGTGCATATTCGAATTTAGCTGAAACAGAACTAGAGCTTGCTTTTACGTTTGTTTTGCAATCTAGTATTTAATATTTATAGATATTAGAAACTGTTCCTAAGTATTAATTCTCATTGTTATTTATCAACAAATAAGTTTGAATTAAAAGATTTGAA